CCTGATCAAGAACTGTGGTCTCAGAATCAGGCAAAACCCACCTGTTCAGAAATGGGCCCGGGTGCTTTCTGCCTGCTTCCCGCCTCCCGAGCCTCAGTGTCCCCTGCTACGAATCAGAAGTGCCACCTGCGCCCTCGATCCTCCAGGTGGGCCCAGGGACCAGAGGGCAGGCTGCCGAGGCGGCGCGGGCTCAGACCTCTGCGGTGGGGGCTGGGGACCGAGCAGGAGCGCTAGCCCCCCCTCCCCGACCGCGCACACGCGCCCACCCCCCGCGCGCCGCCGCCTGCAGGAGCGCGCCTGTGAGTCAAGCGCTATTCATAGAGGAGCTCCGCCAGCTGCGGCGTCACAAGCACAGAGGCCTCAGCCCATATTATTATTTCAATTACCATCTGAATTAAAAGTTTGAGCAGCGATCAGCCCACGTAGCCAGGGGAAGAGGGAGCAGGAGAAAAATAAAGACGAAAAGGAGAAGAAGGCCGTGCTGGAGATCCCCCACACCGAGGAGGGCTGCGCGCCCGGGAGGCTGAAAGGTTACGCCCACCCCCAGGATTCCTGACCGCCCCTTTGCCACGGCCCAGGGTCTGCAGGGGAGGGGCCTTTTGAGACAGCAGCCCAATGGCAGCGACTTGTTGGAAACAGGTCCTTCCTTCCAGATTCTTTGTCATACAGATGGGCAGACCAAGCTCAGAGAGGGTGATGGACTGACCTAAGGTCACACAGAGAGCCCAAGGCTGCTGTCTCCAAGATCATCTCCACACTCAGTTTCCCCTGACCTCACCGAGCCATATGACACTGATAATAGCAGGTGGCCCTGGGGACASGACAAGGAGACAGAGGTGCTGTCCCTGCTGGTTTCTCTCTCTGTTCTCAGAGCCTGGTTCTTCTGCCCCAAGTCCTAGTCTGGAGCCATTCCCTCTGTGACCCCAGCCTCACATCTCAGGTCCCCATCCACCCAAAGGCCCCTTCTTGCCCACTCATGCAGGGAACCGAGCCCCTAGCAGAAATCTAACACTGGACACCTCTGGGTAGGTTATCTCTTGTCTGAGCCTCAGTCTTCCCGTCTATGAAATGAGGCGTCCCCTCCAGTCCATGTCTGTGTCTGCAGAACCGAGCCCCCAGAGTTTCCCTGAGGGGGTGTCAGGCTGTGGGGGCGACTAGACCATCCATCTCCTGCCAAGCCCCAGCACAGGGGAGGAATATTTTCCACTCTTTTTCCCAGGGAAGCCCCAAAGACAGCCTCCGAAAACTAATTTCTAAGCTCAAATTCAGGCTSTTTTGCACTTTCTTGCTGTGTGACCTTGGGCAGATCACATAGACTCTCTGGGCCATGGCTTTGCCATCTCTAACATCAGGATATTAAATGAACAGTGCAGGTTGCTGGGAGGACTAGATGAGAATTTGCAGAAGCTCCTAGCCCAGTGCCTGGGGAGGAACATGGCTTCACTAGCTGGGAAGAGTGGAAGTGGAGGGTGCTACCTCCCTTCTCCTGAGAACATCAAACACTCCCAGGGTTTTGGAGGTGGGGATGTCATTCAACCTTGCCCATGAAGCAGGAGTCACAAGGCCAAGATCCCTAGTTCCACTTGCATAGGCCTGGGAATGGGGAGCTCACTATTTCACCAAACGTCTATAGTTAYTCCCCATTTTTCTTGGTCTCTAGTTCTAGGAATTTTCTAGAATGGACCATAACCTTCTAGCTTCACCCCACATCCAGCCTGTTCCTGCCAGAGACTGCCTGAAACTGGCTCTAAATGAGCCTGACAGGGGGTCCCCAAACAGACCAAGCAGGACCCGCGATGGYAGGATGGGGATCTGGAGGGTGGGGATGGAGAGCTCCTGGTAAGAGCTGTCCCCGYGAGCCATGGAGCTCCTGTCTCTCTGCTTCCAGGGGGTTGGCAGCCAGGAGCCTTGGGTTCAGGCCTTAGCTCTGTCACCTCTGCCCTCAAACCATCACTGTGACCCTCAGGGACCCACGTCCCCCKCTGGGTTTAGTCTCCACTTTTGTAAAAGGAGGGATCAGATCTCCGACAGAAGCTCAGACCSTGGGTCTGGCTGAAGACCCCCCACCTGCCTCCCCAATCCCAGCAGTGGTTGGGCCGCTTGCCCCCGTCTCCACCCAGGGGCCCACCAGTGTGGCTCCTGCTCATCTGCCGGTTCAGGGCCGTGTCCGCCCTCCTGTGCCCTYGGTCCTATCTGGTGCCTAGAGTATCCACCATCCCCACTTTTCGGAGGAGGTGGGGGGTCATGAGGTGAAGCCACTCGCTGCTCCAGGTCCCCGGGATGGAAACGCAGAACCCACCCCCTCCTCAGACCCCGAGGAGCACAGCCCCCACAGGCTCCTTCACCAGGAGAGTCCCCCAGGCCTGAGTGGCCAACTGCCCTCTGTAYGGAGGTGGCCTCTGCACGAGGGGACCTGCCCAAGGTCACACAGCAAGCACAGCAAAGACAGAGAAGGGTCCTGGGCRCCACAGGCCTCACTTCACCAGGGGGACAGCGGCATGCTGGCTTCCTCCCCAGGTCTGGGGATCTCYCCTGGACGGGGGCCTTGTCCTGCCTCCAGGTCCCCGCAGCTGCCCCTAGAAGCCCCCGTGCCTGCGCCTGAGGCCGGCAGGGTGGGCAGAGGGCARGGAGGACAGTGGCCTCTTGGCCTGGGCCTGCCCCTCCCGCTCCCTCGTGCAGGGGGAGCGGTGATGATGTAATGCGCTCGGCTTTCGTCCCGGTGCCAATCTCAGAAGAGACGACAGATTGCAAGAGCCAAATTTGGCAACCTAGGGGGAGAGGCACGAAGAGTGGGGGAGAGGAGCGGGCCTGGGAGGTGTGGAGAAGCCCCCTGCCCGCCGCGCCCGGGCGTGTCCCCTCCCTCCACTCTGGCCCCCTGCTTCCGCCCGGCCCACCTGCTGGCCCGGGGCCTCACCTCCTCTGTCTGGGTGGCCAGCCCAGCTGCTGCCAGGACCCTCCCGCCTGGCGCTGCCAGTCTCGCCCTCCCACCCCCACCCCACACAGCTCAGCTTCATTTCCCACCGCTAGTTTCCTGGTTACCACGTTGCTGGTTGTCATGTCGCTTACATGTCCTCGTGACTCAGTGGTCCCCGCAGAGGGGGCCCCTCCTCCTCACACCCCCCTTAGCACTCGCCCCCGCCTCCCCCAGATCCACATTAAGCAGCAGCCCGCCCTGGGAGCCCGCCCGGCTCCTCTCCCTTCCCTCCCATCCCAAGCCTAGGAGTCTAACTGCAGCACCCTAGAGCTACTCCGCTCTCCCTTCCACAAATGTCTGTGAAGGACCTACTGTGTGCCAGGCTCCTGCACGTTGCTCTGAGACCTGACAGGGTCTGTAAGCCACTCGGTGCCTTGAAGAAGTCAGTGACACAGCCCCATTCTCCAGACGAAGAAACTGAGGTTCAGAGAAGTCAAGCCAGTTGCCCAAGGTCACCCCAGCAGAAACCCATGGCTAGTTCTTTTTGGTCATGGTCACCTCAAAGGTTTTTTTCTGGGAGAAATTTCTTTGCAAGGGGCTCTTTTCAAGGGATCTTGAGGAATAACTTCCAAGCCCCAGATGCCCCTTCTAACTCCCGACCCTCCACTCCACGGTGGCCCCTCCACTCCACAGTGCCCAGTGGCTGGGCCTCTGTTGCAGCCACGTTCCTTTCACACCCCCTCCCCCGCATCAGCTCTACACCTCTTTAAAGGTGAAATGAGTCCTTGCCCCATCTCCCAGCATGTCCCCAGCCTTCTGCTCATGGAGCCCAGAGCTCTCCATTGGAGGTCAGTGGGGCAGGGAATGTGGCCTCTGGGAATGAGGTTCCACAGGTGTGGAAGTTGAGGCTCGGGGAGGGGAGTGGACTGCTGAGGCTGCKCGGAGGGTACGGGAGGCTTGATGCTCTGCATGGAAACCCCCKAGAGCCTTCCGTCCAGGGGAGAAGGTTCCAGGCGCTGCCATTCTGGCTCCAACTTGGCTATGGGTTCTCTTGGTGGCCAGAGGCCCTTACTTCTGCCAAGTTGTACACCAGCCTCATCCCAACTGTCCTCTCTTCCATTTGCCCTCCTCATCAGAGGCCATGCCAGGGCCACAACAAGACTCTTGGGCCTAAAGCCCTAGAGGTCATGGGATCAGAGTAGATGCTACACACACAGGGCTGGAGTCCCTCTCTGCACTACCCAGGCCTGGCCCTCGGGCCTCCAGCTCTGGTCCTCGGCTCTCTTGACTCAGTGCTGTCACTCCACCACTCCTGAGCCCATATTTCCACACAGCAGACCTCTCCGCCTCTCGTGCACCACTACCCTCCAGCMCGCCATCTCCCCTGCTTTCTCCCATCCTGCAGCCTGGGCACTGGAGGCAGAGTGTGGGTGGAGGGAAAGTAGATGACAGTGGTTGGGGGACATTCTGCAGGTGGCAGGGCCGCTCTCCCTGCTCAGGGAGTCATCAGATGGCTCTTCCCTTGGGGTCCTCACGGAGGGAAATGCAGCCTCTGCCTTTCTCCCCAGCCTCAGTTTCCAAAACTGTAAAACACCTGTCATTCACAGAATCCCTGCCCACCCACCCTGGGTTTGCCTGGCACAAAGTAGGTGATCAAAATCTGAGAAGTAGGATTTTTTGTCAAACTGAGAGGCCATTTGGAAATAGGCTGCAGGTAGGGGATTGGGAAGAAGAGACCCTCCACACGCATCTTGCCACAGTCACCTGCCTGAAAGCTCCCGCCCTGACAACTGTGGGTGGGTGGAGGCCAGGAAAGGTCATGGCCAGGGCAGGAGGTCAAGATACCTTCCACCCACTCTTCTCTTCCTCCCTGCAACCCAGACCTCCGCTCCTGACCCACAGCCTGACAGAGCGCAGGAGCGCACCAGCTCCGGGGAAGTCACGGGACCGCGCCAAACGCCGCGCGGGCCAGCCAGGACCCGGGTCAGGGATAAGGTGCGGAACAGGCGAGAGGCCCGGCCCCAGGACACACAGACACACAGGCTGCCAGACAGACGCACGGACGGACGGACAGCGCCCGGCTTACCGCGGGGCTGAGGGTCCGACGAGTGTCCGGGAGGCGGCAAGCGGGCGCTACATCCCCCGGCGCAGTCCTGCGGGCGGCGTCCGGGAGGGGAGAGGGGCGTCCCGSCGCCCCCGGCCCGCGATCTCGGCCGGCCGGCCCGCGCCCCCTCGCCGGCTGCCGGTCGGTCTGGGCGTGGGGTCTCGGGGTCTCGGCGCCTCCAGGCCGTCCCGCGCCGCTCCCCGCGGGCCACCCAACTTTCAGCGCTGTCACTCGCCGCGCCCTGGGCGCCACCTCGGCATCAGCATCCTCGGCCCCAGGCCSGGGCTCAGAGCGCGGGGCTCGGGGACCCAGGGCGCCGGGCCACCGCGCCCGCGCCCCCCGCCCCCGCCGCAGGCACCCTCGCTCCGCGGCTCCCTCCCTGTCACTCGGTCTCACTGCACGCTGCCCCCCGCCCTCCGCTCTACTCCCTGCACCCGGCACCGGTCACCGGTCCCGCGACCCTCGGCCTCCTGGCCCGGGGTCGCCTCCCCGCTCCCGCCGGGCGGCTCAGCCGCCACCTCCCGCCCTCGCTCCCGGTGGCTGGCTCCCGCTCCTCTGGTCTCTGCCTCTCTGCTCCGTCTCTCTCCGGTCTCTCCCGCCTCCCTGGGTCTCTGTCGCTTTCTCCCAGCGGGGTCTGTCAACGTCTCCGTGGCCCTGCGGGTCTCCCCCTGCCTCTGCCCTGTCGCTCCCCTGCCCGCCTCTAGCCGTCTCCCCCGCGGCTCGGTCCTCCGTCTCTCTCCCTCCCACTCTCGGTGCGGCCCCCTCTGTCTGGGACCCAGGCCCCCGCTCGCCGCGTCCCCGCCTCGCCCGGAGCCCGAGCTCCCGCCGCCCGCGGCGCGCCGAGAACTCCCAACTCGCCGCACGCCGCCCGCTTTGCGAGACTTTCGCCCCTCCTCACACGTGACCCGCGCCCCGCAGCGGAGGCCACGCGCCCCCCCAGCTCSGCAGCCCCGGGGGGCGCGGGGGCCCTGCCCCGCCCGGTGTCCCCGGCCTGCACGAGTCTCCAACCCGCTCCCCGCGGGGCCCGCGGCGCGGGGCAGGGGCAGGGGCTGGGGGCTGCGCGGCCCCGATCCGGCCCTGGATCCCGCCCGGGTTTTCCTCCTCGCCCCAGGAGCGCTCCTCCCAGAACCCGTTCCGGGATCCGCTCCCGCGTTTCCCAGCCCCCCGGGGCAGGTGGGGAGGGCTCCCGGGAGCTGGTAGGCCGGTGGGTGGGAGCGGGGGGCCTGGGGTCCCGGGGTGCCGGCCCCTCTCTTCGTCGGCCGCGATCCTTCCCGAAGTGCCTGCAGTTAAGGCCCCCAGCACCCGGCTCCAGGAAACCGAGGTGGCCCTGCAGGAGGGACCCTCATGATCAACTCTTTCACAGACCGAGAGACGGAGTACCAGAGAGGGTCAGCTCACCCAAGGTCACCCAGAGGTGGCAGAGCCACACCAAACTTTCCTTCTCTACCGTCCCCCACTGCCCTTGTCTAATTAAGCCGTCTTAAGGGAGGATCTGTTCACTTCTACCAGACTCACCACCAGAGTGTCCAGGTCAAAGCTGCCAGCACCCCACTGTCCCTAGCTAGTTGGTGGCCATTCTGCCACCTCTCTCCAGTTCTCCAAGGAGACAGGAGGGAAAGTGAGTCTGTCTCTGTGGTGATAGGATGAGCAGACACCTGTGGTTAGACTTCCAGAAGAACTTTCTTGGGAGCCTGGCTATCTCAGACTAGCCCCAGCTCAGAGAGGGAGAGTCAGGCATCCCAAAGCTGGGTGGAGAACTGGCTGGGTAAGAGGCTCCTACTCCAAGCTGGTTTTGAGCAGAAAACTACTAATGTGCAAACCACCTCGTTTCCCTACCTGTTCCCGGGTCCCAAGTCCTCAGCATAGTGTACCCTCAGGCACCACCTTATTCTGCACACCATATCCCCACACACACACCCTGATTCCCACAGATGGCAGAACACACCAGATGCCTGCACACCTCTCCGCTGCTTGCAGTTCCTCCTGCCTCCAAGCCCAGCCTCAGTCCCCCTCCCTCAGGGGCCTCCGGATGCCCACAGCAAAAGTCATTTTCTACCTGCTCATTCATTCACTCAGCCAGCACTGGGTGCCCACCATGTGCTGGCCCCTGGGCCGGGCACAGTATGGTTCTTGCTTAATGAGTCTGGGAGTCAGCCCAACCTGGACTCAAAAGCACTTAGGAGCTACGTGATTTTAAGCGAGTGTTTTATTTAACCTGTTAAATGGGGACTCTAACAGCTCCCCCAGGGGCAGATGAGCTTAGGTGGACACACCAGAAATGCACAGCTCMTGCTCACAGCTCATGCTAGCACAACTGTTCCTTCCTGGTGCAGCCTTCAGTACTGCACACCTCCACGGGTGGGCATCTTCCACGCCTGCGTCCCTCATTACCTGCTCTGCGCCCCTTGTTACCCGCTGTGCCCCAGCACAGACGGCCAGGACTGATGTTACCTGGCGCAGTCCTCTGTGGGACTGAAGAGGGGTTAGGCCCCGATAGCAACCCATGTGTGCTGGGGGCCTATAGCACCTTTGCTTGGGCTGAAAGTGGGAGGATGCAGATGACACAAATGACCATAGTCTCTTCCCCTCACCAGAGGCCTGGCCTGGGGGCTGCCCTGGGAGCSTGAGGTTCAGGGAAGAAGGCAGCCGAGAGAAGGAGGTGGGTAGAGAGAGAGGGAGGTCTGCATCCAGAGAGCTTAGTCCCACAGGAGCAGTCCCCCAGTGCCAGGTCACTCAGCACAAGTTGAGGTCCCCTTGCTGGGCCTGGGCTGCACTCCAGGGGCATCTCAGCCCCTGCAAGGGCGGTGGACTGGGAGGGAGTGAAGAAGGGCATTTCCAGGAAGGAAGAGGCTCAAGGGTGTCAGGAAAGGGTCCCTCCTCCCCCATGGACCCCTCTGAGGCCACGTGCTCTAGACCTGGTTTCCTCATAGGTAAAGTGGGAGGGACAAGGTCCAGCTCTCCTGAGGATGATTAAAGATCAAGGAAGGACTTGCCATCGTCCGTCCCATGTTTGAGAATTTCTGGCCTGTTGAGGTCAGGAGGGGTGATATGACACAGGTGTGCACAGGCCTGCCAGTGTGTGTGTGTGTGTGTGTGTGTGTGTGTGTGTGTGTGTAAGTGGGCTGGGGAAAAGGGGGTCATGTATCAGAATCTTTGTGACCCTGGGCAAGTTGCTTGTCCTCTCTGCACCTCAGAGGCCAGGTCTGTAATGGGACAAGCTGGACTGGGTCCCCAAGGGGCAAGTAGACTTCATTGTCATCATCCAAGACAGAAGCAGAAGCATTCGTCCTGGGGGCGGAGGCAACCTCCAGGAGAGTGAGGTCCACCCTGAAGTTTGATGATACACGTCCTTTGTCCCTCTGTCCATTTCACCAAAGCTCCCTAGCCTGTCCCCTTCTCCCATTTGGACCCTCACAACTTGGAATCAGAGGCCACGAATGTCCTCACTTCACAGGCAAGGAGACTGAGCTGAGACCCAGAGGGAGGGAGTGGCCTGGCACGGTCAGTCAGGGTTAAGCAAATGTCCAAGCCAGGATTTGAACCAGGCCCAACTCCTGGAGTCTGGTGACAGGTCATTCTAGGCCATTGCGTGCTCACTAGCCAGCCCACTCCGGGGGCCTGCTCAGGGGTCCTGAGGGCATGTGCAGAGGACTCTGTAGAACAGGAGGGCAGAGGGACTTGGGCCAGGCAGGTGAGACAGCTGGGGAGGAGAGGGGAGGGTCACTTGGAAATGCCAGACTCACAAAGTCCAGTTCTGGGCCCAGAGAGTTCCTTAAAGTCCAGTCTGCCCACTCTGCAGAGGAGACAAACTGAGGCCACCCAGCTGCTTAGCTGAGAAATCAGATCAGGGCACAGCTGGCCAGCCTCAGCGCGCTTAAGTCCTGGAGGTGGCAAAAGGGATATCAGAATGGGCCAGGACCCATCCCAGCAGGCTGAACCCCAGGGATGGACGACTGTAGGGGTCTCTCCCGCCCTCCGCCCCCTCCCTCAGCCACCCCCCAGCACTCAGTAGTCACCAGGGTGGAATATTTTAGCACCTATAGAAAAACCGCCACAGACGGCCGTGGCAGCTGTTGCTAAGGAGACGCTCCCAAAATAGCCCCCCTCCGCCAACCTTTCCCGCTGCTGCTCCTGCTGTGGGGAGGGGAGGAGGCCATGCGGGAAGGGGTGTCACATGAGCCCTGGCCCCAGGCTCACCCACCCATCCAGGCCCCTGGCGGCCACCCTGGCCAAAGACCTGGGCAGCCACAGGTCGGTGGAGAGGGCAGAAGCCAGCCAGTGTGTGCCCGTGGCTTGTGGGGACAAAGGTCACTCAGGTGAGAAGAGAAGGAGGAGAGAAGCCCCTGTAGCCAGGACCCCCGCACATCTGTCACACATACATGGCCACAGACCCTCACACGCCAGTGCACAGGCAAGAGCAGCCCCACACATGCCCGTTAGACATTCACACACACAGCAGAGACACAAATAGCTGTGTGGGTAAACACATATGCCACCCGCACAACACACACCTGCACTCGCCCTCCACACCGCCATAAATACACACGTTTTCATACACACACGCAAATATACATCTGAAGTGCACACAGACATCAATGTGTGCAGCCAGGCATATGGACACAGAAGCCAACCTTCACAGGCCATGAACACACGCATTCACAGATACACACGACCGTCCCAACTCATGCCGGCACGAGGCATCGGAAGGGTATTCAGTTTCCCAGTGGGCCCTGTCCAGGGGCCAGGTGCTGGGGCTTCTGCATCCCCACTTACTCCCCGGGGACCTTATGATCCAGACACAGGGCATGGAATAAGGAGGATGTGTCCAGGCAGGGGGACAGAGGGTCACACCTCTGTGAATCCCTCCAAGTCTGGGGGCTGTCTTAGGAGAGCTGTCCTGGAGCCTTTCCATGGGGAGGGAAGCACAGAGGACTCACCTGCAGTCTTGAAACCTCTGGGCATGGAGAGAAGTTCTGAGACCCAGGTTCACGGTGCAGTTGAATGCCACCAAGGCTGCCCTTGGGGCTGGGGTGATGAAGAGGACAAGGTGGCAAGAGAGAGCCAATGGTGACGGTCCTTGACATGTGCAAAACACTTTACAGTTTGCAAGCTGCTAGTACACTCCTTGATCACTTCACACACTTGGTGACAGCTACTCTGAGACATTAGTGGTGGTGGTGGTGGCCCATCTCAGAGACCAGAGAAGGAGACGGGATTTCAAAAACACACAGCAAGTTACTAGCAGAACCAGAAGCAGAAACCAAGGAAGAGCCAGACCAGAGCCCAGCCCTACTGGCCGTGCACCTGGCTGCACT